CCCTAATTATTCTTGATCCTCATGGCTATCTGTCAATGTTTGCATATTTCAAGAAGCAGATGCTTATTCCAGTTTCCACAAACTTTCTTTGTCTGGGGCAGACCAGAAGCTTAGGATAGATTCAGCCCGCATGGCACTGCCAGAAGCCTGGGATACACTAAGGCAGGCATGATGCTGGGACACAAAGTCACGAAGCTTAGTGAGCTGCCTGTTGCTGAGGGCTGTCTGGGACCCAGGGCCACTGACATCAGCTCAGCAATGGTGCAGGCCAGGGGCCGAGTTCTCCAAAAAAGCCTGGCACCTGGGGCTGTGTGATCCCACCTGGCATCAAGTCAGTTATAAACAGTTACTCCATTTGTTCTGAACTGGAAAGTAGGGTTGTGAATGTCTGCCAGTGCCGGGTTTTACTGTGCTGGGCCTAGTGAGTCCAAGACAAAGTCCTTTGCTTGCTTCTCTCTCTCTCCCACAAGTGAATGATACCTCTTCCCATGCTGTGCTCCCTGTGATTGGGGGAGGGGTGACACATATGATGTAATACTTTTCTTCTTACTCTCTTCAATGCATAATTTCTTATTATTGTGCTATAATCGGGTACTGTGATCTCTCACCTGTGTTCCTTCACTATTGGGAAAATATTTTTGCATGTCAATAGTTGTTTAAGTTGATTTTTATGATTTTATACCTTCACAGATTATGAAAATAAGACACATCTGGTCCTTGTGCTAGAGATCTTGAGATTCTTTCAATGACTAATGGAGTTTTGTGTTTCTCATTATGGAGAAGGGAGAGAAGAAGAAAAAAAAGAAAGAAGAATAAGGAGGAAGAGGAGAAGGAAAGAAGAGAAGGAGGGGAAAGAAAAGGACAAGCTGATGTATTTTTTTTATTTGATAAATAGTTGATTCATGTCAAATGAAATAATACTGTTTCTTAATGTAAGTAAAATAATGAGCATAGATATTAAAGAGTAAAAGAGAAGGGCATATCTATTGTTAGACTTTTGCTCGTCTCTTCCCTAATCTGCTTGTTATAAGGGAGAGGAGCAAGTTTTTAACTACCGAATGTTTTATTTTGCAGACTCCAGTATTAACTTTTTACTGCAGGGTATCAGCAAAATATTAGACGCCAATGTATCCCAATTCCCTCTCTACATCAGCTAACTTTTCTGGCAGTCTTTGTTTGTCCTTTATAATTTCAACTCCCACTCTCATCAGCAGGTTAAGCTGCTACGTTTCTTGCTTCTTTCAGTTGATCAAGACTTCTGGGATACAGAAACACCATTATTTTCATATGCCTCTCACGAAGAGGCAAAACTAGTAGGATCTTGTGTCTTTTTTGTTCTGGATTATTTTATCAGCTCTTATATAACTTTCAAGTTCTTCATCACCTATTTAAATGCAAACATTCCTTCAGCAACAATTTGTTTAAAATATTTTACCCCAGACAATGACTGAATAAATCTTGAGAAGTATGGTCATTTCCCTATAATGCAAGAGCTTCAGGAGATTTCAACCCAGGGTTTTGTTTTATTTCTTTTTTCACTTTTATTTTTAGAATGAGGTGGTTGTTATGTGCAGGTTTGCTACATGAGTAAATTGTGTGTCACTGGGGTTTGGTGTCCAAATGATTTCATCACCAAGGTAGTAAGCACAGTACCCAATATGTAAATTTTCCACCCTCACCCTCTCCCACCCTCCACCCTCAAGTAGACCCGGTGTCCATTGTTCTCTTTTTTGTATCCACCTGTACGCAATGTTTAGCTTCCACTTATAAGTGAGAACATGTGGCATTTGTATTTCAGATAAGAAAAAATTCACCAAAATAGACAGAGACATACTTTAAAAGGGATTTGGGTATCATTACATCTGTAGTGGGGGTTCTTTGTGCTACTTCGTGTAACTTCTGCCTTCATTCTGTTGAGAGGTATTTGAGGGGTACAGGTAAACTTTCTGGGGTCAGCACAAGAATTAGTATATAATAATGCCTTTCCATTCTAAATGCATGTATATGTTTATAGTAAGAAAATGTATGTGCTTTATCCATTGTTACATCTTTATAAGATATATTTCCAAAATTTATCTAATAGTAGTATTTTCCTTTAGGATAGGAACTCAATTTGCCCTTATGGTAGTTGACACATATACTTACTTGGATTCTTTTCTTCTCTCCGGTGTGTAATGCTGTATTAGTTTGCTGAGTCATCATATAAAAGTACCACACACTGGATGGCTTAAATAACAGAAATTTATTTCCTCAGTTCTTGAGGCTGGATGTCTGAGATCAAGGTTTCACCAGGGTTGGTTCCTTATACGAGACCATGGAAGAAGAATGTTTCAGGCCTTTCTTCTTGACTTTATGTAAACGGCCGTCTTCTCCCTGTGTCTTCACATCTTCCCTGTGTGAGTGTTTCTCTTCATGCCTAAATTAGCTATTCTAATGAAGACATCAGTCTTACTGAATTAGGGCCCACCCTAATGGCCTCATTTTACCATAATTACCTCTTAAAGTTTGTATCTTCAGATACAGTCATTCTAAGTACTCAAAACTAGTATTTCAATATATGAATTTTGGGGAAACATAATTCAGTCCATTAAAAATGGAGGCAGCAATTGTTCCCCAGAGTCATATTCCTTTCTGTAGCAAAGACACAATCAGGGATCATGTTATCTGGCCTACCTTTCCATACCTATATGTGTGGCCTTATTACTAGTCCTTAGCAAAGAATGCTATGAGAAAGGGCAAGTATTACTCCTGTCCAAGGTTTTAAGGAATTATCTGTGCCTCCTTTGTTTCCTTTATCTCTTTTTGTGAGTTTCATAGTTAGAATGAAGAGGCCCTAACCTAGGGGATTTGGAGCCACAAAAAAGAACTGGAGGAAAGTATACATTGTACGGACAAAAACCAGCCAATCTACAAGCAGATATATTAGCATTGACTGTTATAAGGCTATTATAAAGACTTGTTTGTAGTCTGCTATGCCTCAAAAATGTTGGCATTTAATATCACATAGCTTTCACCTAATTCATAAATAGGTAGAAGAAATGGTGGAGGGAGCAGAGGTGTTATCAGTTTAGCAGGTATGTTGCAGAGGATTAGGGATTAGCAACTTTAGATTGAAAAGTTGAAGACTTTTATTACTTAGTGGTTAAATAGCTGAGAAAACTATAGCTATCCGTAATAATTCTGAAGACAAACCATGTCCTACTTAAGACAAACCATGTAGTCTTAGGGAAGTGTTTGGAAAAAGTGAGAATGTTCATGTTTGTTAACTTTTACTTAATATAAATGTTTACATTACATTAACTAATTACTGTAGTAATTAATTTAATTTAAAAGTAGTGTTCTGGGAAAAAGTATTAATTTATTGAATATTGAACTAAAATGCCTTCTTTTACCAGCATAAAAGTAGTGTTCTGGGAAAAAGTATTAATTTATTGAATATTGTTCATTTTTATAATTTTCATCTAAAATATTTTCATCAATCAAAATTCAGTCTTCAATGTAAAATGGAAAATTTAGGAAGGAGGAACAAGTAAATGAGATAAGAAATGTGGACAGCAAATTCAGTTAACAATACATTAATTAAACAAAAGTTTAATTAATTAAACATAAATCACATTAAATGTTTTAAAGAGGTGTTATTAAAAAAGAGAAAAGAGTCTCCAAAGCCTATTATTCTATATGCTATGACCATGTAAATGCATTATTTAGCTCCCATTTATAAATGAGAACAAGTAATGAAATTAAAAATAAAATTAAAAAGAGAGATGAAAGTTGACTAATTCAGAACAGTGGTAGAAAAAAAATAGTGGTGAGAAAGTTGAAGCTACACAATTTGGGGAAAGCCTAAAGCTTCCAGTTACTAAGCAGTAAGAGGTATTACTAGAAAAGGGATTTGCATGGCAAAGATCCACTAAGATTTCTTAAAGAGAGCATATCAATCATTTGGTAAATATTAAATTAGGAAACTTTTCTTCCCATCCATGCTAATTATTTCGCTTTCCATGAGGATTAAAAAGAACCAGGCTTGAAAATTAAACCAGAAGAAAATTTTGGTATGTTTATTCACATGTAATTGACTAATAGCAATAGATCAGAAGTCTATTAAGCTTCGCAGAGAATAAAATTAACAAGGAAAATAAAAAAAGAAACAAAAACCTCATCTAAAAGTACTGCAGTTCTAAAACCTTCCTAGGTACCTAAATCTTTGCAACTGAAGGAAACACCACTCTCCCACACAGGATATATTCCTCACTACCCAATTCAGAAGTAATCATCAAGGATATTGTGACATGAAGATTGGAATCAAGTGCCTACAAAGAATGCCAGAGATCTTAAGCCTAATAAAAAAGATCCCCCCTTTCCTAGCACAGGAACTGAAAAGGAGTTTATTATTGCCAAAGACCAACATGTATGTATGACTACTATACGTCTCTTATTCTTCTATTTTAACATAGGCTATTTTTTTTAAACCAAGATTACGTTGTCCTTAGTTTACCACTGCACGTTGTGGGAGTTGGGTAAGAGGCAGGTAATTTATTTTTAGTTTATAAGTTTCCAGATGATGTGATACCAAATTTGAACATAAATAGCAGGCTCTAGCTGAGATATTGGACTTTGAAATATAAGAAGAACCTGGGATAGACATTGGTTTTCTTTTTTAAGGGAACAAGAGAATATAGTGTGTGAGTTTGAATAAGACTGCAAATGATTTTTTTATTGACCAGGAGGACAGACTGTGGAAGAAAAGACTGATTGTTCCTCTTTAAATTCATCTCCTCTCTATCCTGAATACATAGCTACATTATATCTCTCAGGATTCCTTGGAGTTAGGCGAGACCATGTTACAGTTTTGCTGCCAATGGAATTTTGGCAGAAGTGATAGGTACAGCTTCCAGGTCTTGCTGAAACATCTATGCAATAGTATCCAGTATCTTTCTCATTCCACCAATTGGATATGGATTTACAGAGTTTCTGTCAGCTGGGTCCTTGGATTTTTTAAAAAATTTTTTGTAGCAACATCACTCTCCCTTCCCCTTAATTGACCAGAAATAACCATATTGTACTTTGATATGAGTAAGAAATGACTTCAATTTTGTTAAGCTACTGAAATGCAGACAATGACTACAAGTAGAGTAGCTAGCACAGCTTCTCTGTTAGGCTCCACTCATTTTAGTTCAATGCCCTCTTTTACCAGTATAAATGTAGCGTTCTGGGAAAAAAAGTATTGATTTCTTGAATATTGTTCATTTTTATAATTTTCATCTAAAAAATATTTACTTAATCAAAATTCAGTCTTCAATGTGAATTTTTGTAACTAATGATGTTTCAGTGATAAGAAAATGTAAATGGAAAACTTATGAAGCAGGAACAGGTAAATGAGATAAGAAATGTGGACAACAAATTCTGGTTTTATTTAGGGTCCATGTGGTCATTAGCTATAGGTTATGGTAGCAACCGAGTAAATCTAGTCTTGTCAACAACTCATTTAAGAAGTTATCCTTACATTATACTGTATCTGAGGATGAAATGGTTAGATATGAAGGAATAACCATCTACATTGTACTTTCCTGACTGCCTTTTATAGGTGATGTGGTGCACACATTTCCTTAAGTGAACAGATGGAACAGATTAGGGTTAGGAATAGGACTCATTTCTCTCTAGGTGTATCCAGCTTTGTATATTTCTGGCAGGTGGATAGATATAGTAAGTGTTCAGTAGTGACAACGTATTAGGCATTCTGCTTTCTTTTTCAGTAAGCCTATCCTCCAGTGATTGTATGTTAGATTATCTTCAATATTTCTTTCACCAATATTTTGAAACTGGTTTGCTTTTGCAACTGGTGTCTCCATTGTGAAAGTTCCATTTAAGGGATTGAGTAGCTGGGAAAATAAATTTTGAGTCTAATATTTTTTTCTTTACCTGTAATGCAAGCTCCTGGCCTTATTGAATTCTCTTTATTTGTGGTATGCTTTGTTATGTGTCTGAACTGTGATATAAAAATTAAGTCTTCTTATATTTGAAAACATGACTTTTCTTTTCTCCCTTATTCTCTCTTTTATTATTTTCTTGTTACCTGAGCAATATACAGGTTTTGCTGGGTGTCACCAATGCTCTTCCTCTGTAGGATATTGCTAATGATGCTGCAACAGATGTGTTGTAATTCTCACAGTAACACAAGAGAGCTGTGTGGTCTGGAGAGATGAAATGTACAGAAACAAGTTGGAATCCACAAGAAAGTAAGGAGAAGGTCACATCAACCAAATGTTACATTTTCTAAAAGGAACCAGTATTATATCCTTACGTGCTGCCCAACAGACTTAAGAGAAACATTAATTCAAATATTAATTCATATTCATCTTTTTTTCTCCAATGTGGTGACCCAGAGATAAAGAAACAATACTACATTTATTTTCTTTATCTTGGTAGTAAACTATTAACTCATTCATATGCTTTTAAGGTATTTATGAAATATATCACTTTTTTCATAGATCCATAGGCAATCAATTAAATTTTTCATTTTAAAGATTAAAATATTGGCTAATTCATGTTTAATTATAAAGTGCATATGGAATATGTCACTATTTGTCATGGATCCATATGTAATAGGTTTTATTTTTAAATTTGGAAGATAAAAATATTAAGACTAGAAAAGTTGTTTGTCCCAAGATAACTGCCTGAATTAGAGGTAGACAGCGAATTGGAACTCAAGTCTTTTGCATTTGTGTTTACTAGTCTGTGAATCCAGAAAGCTTATTTAAAATCTATTTAGGGTGGGGTGTGGTGGCTCAACCAGCACTTTGGGAGGCCAAGGTGGGTGGATTACTTGAGGTTAGGAGTTTGAGACCTGCCTGGCCAACATGGTGAAACCCCATCTCTACTAAAAATACAAAAATTAGGCAGGTGTGGTGGCACGTGCCTGTGGTCTCAGCAACTTGGGAGGCTAAGGCAGGAGAATAGCTTGAATCTAGGAGATGGATCTTGCAGCGAGTCAAGATCACACCACTGCACTACAGCCTGGGTGACAGAGCAAGACTGTGTCTCAAAAAAAAAAAATCTATTTAGGCAATGACTACAAAAAGCTCATTTCAAATGTGACATCTTTCTGTGGTATTTTTATCTTCTTTCTAATATTAATGCAATCAAATGTAGCATAACAATAGTTGTCTTTTCTCTGCAAATAACAATATGCTGTCAGAATGAGTGTAGCATAAATCTCCATTCAAAGAGTATATGCCAACACAATGTCATTCATACAAGGAAAAAATTCTCTGGAGCATAGGTTGACATAGCAAAGAATAGATTGAAGTAAAAATTGCCTGAATGAAATAGCTTCAGGTGTTTGCAAGATGAAATATTTTTGGCTATTTTTATATTGTGTTTGTACATAAGTGTTTATTGTATTTTAAACATTTCTCTTTGCAATCAGTAACTGTGGCTGAATTATAATCAAGGCTTTGACATTCATTGACATGAATTGTTTAAAAGTGTAAATTTATACTCTTTTTTAGCCTAAGAAATTTAGGTATCCATTGTTTTATTTTGAACAAACTAAATTTAAGTGAAACAGCTCTGAATTGAAAGAGCTAAGACACTGCTAACATTTTGCCTTTCCACATATTTACTTATCATAGATGAAGAAACACGTTTAAATTTAGATAATCTTATACTAACAGCAATAAAATCTTATCTTCTCAGAGGCACAACCAATTCACCTTGTTAACTTTTTCTAAGACCAACAGTAAAATTCAATAAGGTTCTATTTTGTTTCCTATAAACAAAAAGCAAATAGGTCTTCAAATTTTATTCATAGATGTTGAGAGAACCATACAAAAAAAAATCCTGTAAATTCCATGTGGAATACGCAAAGCAGTTACATAAAATTTTAAAGGTAAATAACACTAAACCATAGTTCTTAGTTTATTTAGACTTCATATTTTCAAAGATTTAGTGGGAAGAACAGGAAAAACAGAAAAGTTACCATGAAGATAAAATGTTTAAATTTAGTGTGTGTGGAGGTAACCATGAGGCCTGTATTAGTCTCTTCTCCTGCTGCTAATAAGGACATACCTAAGACTGGGTAATTTATAAAGGAAAGAGGTTTAATTGACTCAGAGTTCAGCTTGGCTAGGGAAGACTCAGGAAACTTACAATTATGGCAGAAAGGGAAGCAAACATGTCCTCCTCCTCCTTCACATGGTGGCAGGAAGGAGAGGTGCCAAGGAAAGGGGGAAAAGCCCCTTATAAAACCATCAGATCTCATGAGTATTCACTCACTATCACAAGAACAGCATGGTTCATTAACTCCCACAACACATGGTGATTATAGAAACTACAATTCAAGATAAGATTTGGGTGGGAACACAGCCAAACCATATCAAGGTCTGTTGACATAGGTTGACATACAGTATTCCTAAGAATTCTTTTCAGAAGTTATTCTGCATATTTATAAATAACAACATCTACATTCAGTGAGAAGACCATAATTACTCTGAAGTTTTAAGTTTCAGTGAAAAAACATGTAAGGGGATATTTTCCATGTGTACAATAGTGATGTTATGTTTTATTTGTTATCATCTATGTAATACAAAAGGAGTAACATGTAAAGTTTATTTTTACCTTCTATTTCAGTCTATTATAGTCCTGACGTAGATGGTTTCCAACAGTCCTCTAGGTCTTCCTTACAATGTGTCTTGTAAGGAAGACACCTTCAAGTCTTGCTCAATATTAATAGTGCAAAGAAATTGTTAAGGGAAAACAAATAGAAAAATCAACTTGGAACATGAATTTTAAAATCATGAAGTGAGAAAGAGGGAAATGAATGAAGTATGCCTCCCTAGGATCATGCTACCATTTTGTTTAACTCTATCCATGTGGAATAAAGCCCACATTCCAAATCCTCCATTGCTTTACTTGTAATTTTTTGTCTTCTGTGTTTTCTCCAAAGGATCAAAGCCAATGCATGTCTGCTTTCCTGCAAGATAAATTTGCCCTCACTTGTCTGGAAGGATTTGCATTTTAAAAAGTTGTGCCATGTAAGAATTATTGCATTTGGTTTGGGAGAATTGAAGATGAACTGGCTGGAAACCAGACGAACATTCCTTTAAAGTTTTCATCTTGTTGATGAAAACTATAGTCAAAATACAACACAATATGTAAAGGAGACATGTTCTTTATGAACTTTTTATATTTTGTTAAATATAAGCAAAACGAAAATTCAAGCAATGCAGCTAGATGAGTATTACATACATGGATTCTGAATCCAGTCCTTCATGGTTTAAATCTTCATTTTGCCACCTACTAGCTCTTTGCCCTGAAATAATTTCCATGATATTTGTCAACCTCAGTTTCCTCACATGCAAAATGAAAATAATAATATGTCTACAGTACAAACTAAATATAGAAAATCATAAGCACTGTTTAGATGTAAGCTGTGTGTTTTCAAAATAATGTCCTGCATAGTATGTTAATAGTAAATTATGCAAAACATATTAAAGTATATTTATGAAGCAAAAGAAGCATTTTAATTAGTTATATTTAAGACCTGTTTCAGTGTGGACCTATGTGATATATAATATACTGCATGTTCTATTCAAATCGAGATATAAAATTATTAAATGGATGCTACTGTCCAACATTTAAAAATCATATTTTTTTATATTATATAATAATTTTGTCTTAGTTTTCCCAACTCAAATGATCATCATCTCCACTCAGGTGAAACAGTTTGAGTTTTCAGGACCCGCATTCCCAGAAATCACAAAACTTTATCGAATGGCAACTTTTTCTTCTTTCTTAATTAGAAATACTCCCCCCTTGTCTATGAATAGCTTCTTACCTTCCTGTGCATGTCAGTTTAAAAATCTCTTCAAAAAGACCTTTTTATGACCTTAGCTTAGGAACTATCATCCTTTGGTTTTGTTTAAAAGGCTTGTAAAAAACTGATATTATCATATACATTCCACTGCACATTTGTTTTTTATGTTTACCACCATGAACATATTGTAGTTTTGATCTTCATCCTTATCTTCCCGGGGGCTAGCATAATGCCAGGGACAAAGTAAATGCTCAACAAATATTTGTTGAATGAATGAATACTGTCAGCTAGTTTTGATTGCTATTCTTACAGTGCAATATTTTGTTTTGGTTGTTTGTTTCTATTAGATTTCATCCAGAAAAGTATTTTATCTTATATTCAGCATTTTTATCTAAACCTGGACTGCTATTTCTCTCTTTGGTATTTTTGCGGTTGTTGTTTTGTTTTTCTCCACTGAACTTAGGTTCGGTGCTGCTGATCTAAGTTAATTGACGTTTTTACTTTCAAGTGACCTAGAAATCAAAATAATTTATATGTGCCAGAGAAAAGCCCTTTTTTAATCCAGAAAAATGAAAGTTAGATACAAAAACAGAATGCTCACTTGATGGAAAAATTAGAAAATAGCTCTTTTTTAAAGTATAACATTATCTTCATTCTTATGACAGCTTTCATTAATTTAAAAAAACTCTGCCAATGGCTGCCACTTTTTATTGAACTGCTGCCTATTATAACTCAATGTTTAATTATATACATTTTACCAAGTGAAGGTTAAATAGTGAATCTATAACTGTACATGGGTTCCATGCCAAAACCACAACAACAGTAATGATCTGTTCTCTTGTTTCTACAGTTTTCTAAGTATTTCATTAGGGAAAAAGTCTTTCAATGTGCTTCTGTGGCTTTCCTTCTATTGCTTATTTTTTTAACTATTTACTTAACTAGATGCACTGCACATATCTAATTATTTACTTAACTAGATGCAATATGCATACCTAATTATTATCGTGAAGGGCAAGGTCAATCCAACGTCGTGTTCATTCTCTTCTTGTGTATCTATTTATATGCTACCTTTTCAACCATCCATGCTAATACACAGGAGCAGTGATGCAGAGACATTATGTATTAATTTGCTAGGGATGTCATAACAACGTACCACAAGCTGGATAGATTGAACAACAAAATATCATCTCACAGTTCTGGAGGCTAGATCAAGGAGCCTTCAGGCTTACTTGCTTCTGAGAAATATGAGGGAGAACCTGTTATATGCCTGTCGCGGCTTCTGTTAATTGGTTAGAAATCTTTGACATTCCTGGGCTTGTAGACACATCATTCCATCTTTTCTTTCATGTTATTATGGCATTCTGTTTGCGTACATGT